TCATACTGAGTTTTTGTGTATCGACAGAATAACCATTTAAAAGCAGAGATTATAATCATAAAATGTCTATGGTGACAACCAAATACAAGAGCAGTACCATGATATCAAGGTACCTATAAGCATAAAGGAAAAAATATAACAATGGTCAAATGGAAAATAAATAAGTAAATTGGAAGTTATGGAAAAGGATTGAGAATTTGCAGGAAAATTTAACAATAATAATGTACAAAGTACTTGCTAAACAAAAGATCAGAACTTATAATATAAAGAGGAGAGAAAGTTCCTACTCATAGAATGGGTGCCAAGAATTGAAAATAAAATGTCAAATAAAATAAAATATATAATAAAAATTGGATATTTAGATCAAAATAAAAATTGGATATTTAGATTTTGTTTGTTGACATGAAACAGAAAAGAGGTAGTATATTTAAACAATAGTATATTTTACAAAGTTGTATGATATATAATAACCAAATGAGCCTGAAAATCTGAGAGGTGAAAATGCAGTAGTGTAGTGAAGTAATATCTTTTGGAAATAAACAATCTTAGCATTGCTCTATTGTTTGGGTATTGGGCACTTTTTGAAATTTGATAGGACTGATCATTTTGGAGTAAACTTTGTCCTGTAATTGATTTAAATTTAAATATATATATATATATATATATATATATATATATATATATATATATATATATATATGTGTGTGTGTGTGTGTGTGTATTTAGGCAAAAAATTCTCTGTTAGACATGTCTGATTGAATAAATTACAAGTACTTTTGAAAGTACTTGGGAAATGAAAATAAAAGAAATTTAAACAGCTATAGCACATTTCTCTCATCCTTTAGCATCAATACATGGAAGGTTATTTGTGAGCATGAATGGATTTTGTTAAAAATTAGCAGACATAATGTCTAATTTATTCAATCAGATATATATGTATTATGCATGCATACATACATACATACATACATACATAAATACATACATTTTATGAAAATATTTCCATCTGAATCCATGAATAATAAAAGGATTCCCACACAACAGGCAATATTTTCATGCTAAGAATGAGGCAATATTTGAAAACATAGATGTCATTATTTTATTCAGATTTGACTTTTAATAAAGATATTTATTGACAATTATGCATTTTCTGATACATGCTCAAGAGAAATAATAATCAAAATACCTTATAAATCCAGGAACAAGAAAATTGTCATATCAGAAAGCAAAGTATTGTTTGTCAAATTGAAGGCTGAATGAGTGTCTCAAACAGCAATGAAACTTTCCACTGGGGATGGTTTCCATGAAATCCACTTGTAAAAGACAAGCTACATTACTGCATTTTTTTTCTGAGCCATCAGAAAAATCATTGTGTGATGAGATAGAAAAATGTCAATATGTCAGATGTGACAGAGGAATTTGGAACCTGGATTAAATGGGAAATATTCAAAAAAGTAAATATCTATTCTACAAAAGGAAATTCTCGATATTTATAGAGGGTTAGTTTGAACAAAAACAGTATATTGTTTTTTTTTTTAAATTAAAAAATCTTTGTTCTTATAGTTTCTGCTTATTTTGACTTCCTTGTCTTTTTTTCTTCTTCTTTCACTTGACTTTCTCAACAATCGAGCAACTGGCAAAATCCTGAGTGGGTTCAAAGCTGAGTGACAAATGTTCTCCAGGCAGCAAACAACAAAACTGATTAGAGGAAAAAATAAAAAAAATAAAACATTGACTTTTATAGAGCTCTGCTGGTTGATCTCATTCCAGTCAAAAGGGGTAAAATCTCCATTAAAATATAGTCTCTAGTTGGTTGACTGAAGGTTGTGAGCTCAATCTCTGTGCAGAGCAGTACATTTTATTTTTATTTTTCTCTTTACCCCTCATCAGTCTATCAATCACTATCTCGGTAGATACCTTTTTCATGTGATCTTTGCATATTGTTAATTCAGCAAAAAGACTAATGAATTTTTAAAAAAACTATTAAGTGACCCTCATAGAAAGAATGAGTCTCTTAATATGAATTCTCTTGAACATATTCACATTTTTTAAAGAAAATCTGCAAAATTAGATCTGAATGCATCGCTCTTGGATATTCCACAAGAGAAGATAACATCAAATAAATTCAATGTTTGAAAGAATAAAAGATTTAAAATCCCATAGTAAATTCACCAAATTTTAATTTGTATAATATCCTTGAATTTTTTTTTATAATGTTCATTCAGGATTGAGGTGGGTGATAGCTCACCACAGTTTCCTGTGCGTGATAGCTTTGTGGTGAGCTATCTTTAATTTTATCTTTGAATTACTAAGATTTCTATGGTAAAATAATGGATTGGTTTTTTGTTTTTTTCTCTCCAGTGTTTTAAATTTAAAGTTTTTCTTCATCTAGACTGGCTGCGACCCATAGCTATAGAGCCCCGTCAACTATTTAACTCATAGCCAGAAGGATAAGAGGAGAAGGATTCATGCTCTTGCCAAGGTCATTAGTGCTAAGTGAATGTAACATTGTCATAATTTGAACTTGGATTGTTGATTCCCCTTTATGCAACAATAACTATTACGTTATCTACACATTCTCTTTTGAATTGCTTACATTGTCAAATACAAAGCTGTTGTTTTGATGCTTATTTATACACACACACACACACACACACAAATATATAAGTTATCAATAATAAAATTTCTGTCGAATTGTATTAGTTTAAAAAAGCACTTAATGTCAAATAGACAGAATATCATACCATTAAGAATGGATTAAGAAGAAAAAATAAGCAAAATTGCTAGTTTCACTTGATAATCTTCAGGTATATTGTATGGACACATGTATTATCATGGCTGTCTTGCTTTCAATTTGTTTAAGGATAGTTTTAATAAAGGCCTCACCTTTTATTATCACTTAGCAAGACACCTAATTTTAAACCTATGCAAAATTATGTTTATCTAAAACACTTTTATGGAGATATTAAGTAATTTAATAAGAGAACTACACTTTAAAATATGTAAGAACAATTCTGAAAATATAGTCAATTTATGTAGGAAATTTCTGTTGAAAAAAGTCAAAATTCAAAAGATTTAGTATGTAAGAGTTTATAGTTTTTCAACAGTATGCATTCAGTAGAAATGAATAGAACATCAACAAGACACACACCATTCAGAAAGTTGATTATCTTGGCTAAATGTAAAAATATTTAGCCAAATTACTAAGTCAAGCAACTTTTTAACCAAATAAATTAATTTAGAACTAAAAAGCAAAAAGTGCTAAATTCTTTTTAAAAGTGATTCTAGTATAATGTTCATTTTATTAATATTAATATTCATCACTGAATCTTGAATAAAAATATTTGTTTTTTGTTATTAAGCTCCAGACATCTTAATGCACCAATTTACATAAAATATAAGGGCTTTTCTCTTTTCAGTTCAATTCTAGTTATTGAATTTTAAACATTTTTAAAGATATTTTGCAAAGAAATCATCATGGAATTTATTCTTTTCATATCTGCATATATGAATGTTTGTTTTATTGCCTACAAAGAAAATGATTTTAGGATTCAGTCACATGGCTTCAATGAAAATGAAATAAAAAAAAAAATTAAAAAAAATGAAATTTTTGTTGTCAGAAAGTACAAATTTATTTGAAAATATTTAAAAAAAAAAAGAAGTATTTTTCTTTCAGAAAGTTTGTAAATTAGAATGGAATTTTTTACATTTTCAGAAGTGATTATAATTCATTTTGTTTATACAAAAGGTTGCTAAAGAAAATAAAAGACTTGTAAAATAAAGACAAAACACATTGACTGACAAAATTCCTTTTACTTATTTATATTCACTCTCATAAAGCGTCATGAGTAAAGATAAAATTTCAAATCAAGCTTCAGTTAATAACTATATGTTAGGCTATGAACTTATTGATCAACTCTTGTATACAACCTTATAAAATAACAAAAAAATATTCTTAGCAAATATTGAAAGATTTCACTTGATTAGAAATAAAAATAACAAACAATATTTTTCTTTAAGCTTAGGTTTATAAATATACAAAAAGTTGTCAATTGTGATTATTGATTTTTCATAAAGAAAGAACTAAAGACTGCTGATATTTTTTCCTGCCAGCCGAGAAATGACTGCAGCTTACATTTTTCTCTTTCAATATTTGTTATCAGTGATGATGGTGATGAACAGAACCATTATTATACATATTATCTTTTTACTCGTTTTTCTCTCAAGTGAGCCACCAACAAGCAGGATGTAAATTATTCTGCTCTCACTCTATATTGGTTTTTCATATCTTTGACTATATTTTTGGATTTATTCATCATATATCTGATAGTATTGAGGCTTTGTATAAACTGATAGGATTTATCATATTATATATATATATATATATATATATATATATATATATATATATATATATATATATATGTGTGTGTGTGTGTGATAATCAAAAATTTAGGATTTGTTTAAAAAAGAGAATCAAGTTTTGGTCTGTGTTCCATTTTTCATGTCTCAATCTATTTCATAGGATCTTATTCAATAAAAAAATATTTCAAAATTTAAAAAAAAAAGGTTAAAAAATATAGTAGAATTATGTATTTACATGTAAAACATTCCTGAATTCTTACAGAAAACAAAATCTTATGAGCAAGTGAATATAAAATATTAATCTCAATACAAATCAATGAATTTGTCTCAGTGTTTTGTTTAGAAAATAATTATATATTTCTTCATGTTTTTTGATGAAATAAAAATGAATTGAAAGATATTTTTAATGAAAATATTGTTTAAATTTTAAATCTTTTTGTATATAAAATAAATAGAAAACAATTTTAAAATCTTTTTCACATATTGTTGAAAATAATGAATAAATTTTAAATAATATTTTTTCATCTAGCCTTTAAATTAGATTTATGCAGTAAAAAACTTTTTTTATACATGTAATTATTAAGCAGGAAAAAAACAAAACAAAGAAAGCTGCACTCTATATCACATTGGTTTATAGCCATATCACGTTGAAATGCCAGTTCTCATATGATCACTGAAGTTAAGCAACATTGAGCCTGGTCAGTACTTAGATGGGTGACCACTTGGGAATACCAGTTGCTGTAAGTTTGGATGTGTGGGTGGTTTAATGGATAATGGCTCAGAATTAGAAATTGGAGAGCTGAGTTCCAATTCTAGTTAGGTTTGTTATATTCACTTATGCTCAAGCACCCTTGGGAAAAGTATAAATCTACTTCTTCCCCCAGCTATGGGTTAATTAGTAGAACGTTTCAGTAAATTATTATTAACTCCTAACTATTATTAACTTCTAAAAATATTTTCTGGCTTTAAATAACCTGCAAAAGATTGATAAGCCATGAGGAACAAATCAATTAATCTGCCTAACATGTATCTATTTTTTAAAATATAGCCAAAGAGATTAGATTTGTTCAAAGAGTATGATTGTAATCTCATTTCATCTTCTTAGACATATGTCTAAAAAGTTATCAAAATTAAAAGCTACATATATAGAGTATGTTGTATTGACCATACATGTTTTTACCAGGATAATAGTCATATACAGCAGAGACCAAGATTCAATATTATTTATATTTTAAAATATTTCCATGAAATAGACAAACTAAACATAAAAATATCTATACAATACCAAAACTAAGGAAACAGAAATATTATTTACTAATATTTATGAGATAATTAACATAAAAATGTCAAAGCTGTAATAGATGACAATATTTCTACATTTCTGACAATGTCCTTTTGTCATCTTCCTAACCCTGAACTGTTTGAGTAGACCAGTTGATGTCTATTAATTGAAGATAATAATCAGCATTATATGATTATATGACACTAGAAACAGCCAACCTAATATTCAAATCAAATGTTGAAAATCATTTGCACCTGCTCAGTTATGCTAGTTGCTTCAGTATACAATTTCATCACAAGAAGGGAAAAAATACAAGATTGCATTTATTTAGATTTTTAAAAAATTACTATCATTTGATGGAAAGAAGATAGTCTATAAGATGGAATGCAAGAGATTATGGGGTAAGGGAAATGAGTCAGCACTAACTGTACCAAAAGTCAATTTTCATCCAAAGATGATTTTATGCATATCATGGGAGTGGAAGAAAGACCTTTTCTATGTCCTTATGGAGAACTAAATGATTGATTGGAGCAGGTATTGCTTTCAGTTAGACCAAGGCAGTAATCAATGAAAAAAAAAAAAAAAAAAAAGCGCTTCCAAAATTAGCTAAAAGAATTAAGTCAACAAGCACACATGCATCAATTTCTGTCATCAAAATACGACTATGTAGTAATGACCTATAGAATTGTCGTATAAAAAGAATGGCTTGTTTAAATGCTGTGCATGATAAATTTAACCAAGACCAAAGCTTTTAGAAAAGTGTGCTATGATTGGATGAATTTAAACTACTTAAGTATAATGATCAAGAATATTTGTTTAAAATGCATGAACATGTCTTTAAGCTGGAGAATCGCATTTTCATAATAAAGTACAGTAATGGTAGTATCATGCTGTGGAAGTGTTTTACCATTAATGGTTCTGTTTATTAGGTTGAATAAATATAAGAAAACTCTTGAAAATCTGGTGGAGTGGTCTAAAACCTTCAGAAAAATGTTTGAAATTGGATTTTTCAACAAGACAATTGACCCAAAGTATGCAATGAAATTAGTGTGAATCTGGCTGGACCAGAACAAAACTAAAATTTCAGAGTGGCCATTGCAGAGAAAATATCTAGGAATTGAAACACAGGCTGCAGAGAGAGAAACCTAGTAAATGTCACAGATGTAATAGAATTAGAAATATTTTAAAAATAAGGTTGTTGTGATTTACAAGAACCATTTAGAAGTGATAAAAGCAGCAAAAGAAAACACAACCAGGAGACACAAAAGAAAACAATATTAAACTGATGCCTGAAAACCTTACACACCTTTTTAAATCATTTTTATATTGTTTTTATTGTAAAACTTAATTTGAATAATATTTGAATTGCTTTCTTTTTGACATTATGCAGATATTTAATTTGTTTAGCTTGCATATTTCATAAATAAAGTCATAATTATTATAATGTATATAAATTGTTCAGCACAGCTGCCTGAAGGGGCACTAATAAATCCATAATCCAACAGTTATTTGCTGAATTTTGATCTGAAAATTTCACTATATAATATTGGAACTGTTATTTAAAGAAGTTTTGGATTAAGTGCATTTACAAAAAAACAAGGTAAGATTATATTAAAAAGTAAAAAAGAAGAAGAGTAAAGTGTATAAGGTGTTTGTATATCAATAGAAAGCAATTCATTTTCAGTTGCTTCTTTTCAGTGATAATGAAGTTTCATACATGAAAATGTGGAAAATTTTCTAGAGAAATCAGAGTAAACTCATAAATGTTGTTATAAACTAACTTAATATTTAACTAGTGTTATTGTAATTCTTAAGGAAATTCTGTTCTTGTGAATGAATATCTCCTTTATGAACATTAGTTGTATATTTGGACAGCAATGCCTCTGTCATTCAGCTTTCATTAAAAATGAATGAAAAGATATTCTCTTATGTTTTTATTGCATTTTTCTTGTATGTCAACAAGAGCCTTCTTTTTTTTTTGACTTAGTGTGTAAATTATCAAAATGATTGTTCACTCCAATCAGTTAGCCATTTTCAATGACTTTTGATGTGCTATTGTAAATGGCATGTAAACAGTTTAAATGTTGCTGAATGGTAGGTATATTCTTAATTTATAAATATTGAAAATATTAAATATTATAGTTATTTGTGTATGTATGTATGTGTGTGTGTGTGTATATATATATATATATATATATATTCAGAATGGCCTTAAAGATAGTTCAAGCATGAAACAGACTGTCAACACTTGGTGTGTCTACTTTTTATATATAAACAAATGATTGGCTTTGCATGGTATAAGGCCATGATATAAAACAAATGCAATGTTTTTTTTTAATTCTATTTACATGTACTAAAATAATGATACCATGACAGAAGAAAATTTTGTTAAAAAGCATGAGCTTTGTTTGAATGTGGATATCTTTCAAAAGGTCTGTAAATAAGACTATACACACATTTTTAGCAACAAATGAAAATGAATCCATTTAATAATTTTAGTAAGAGACATAGCAGAGATAAAATTTAAGACACAATATAATGATGCAAGAAAAGAGATGTAGCAGTAAAAACAGTATTGACTTGTTCCCTTTGCTATGTTTTATACATCATCAAGCAGATACTGAATCCTTGAAACAATATCTCTTCTTCCAGGCTAATCATGGAATGCCTTTGCCGACTGCTGATTAATTGCTATTTTATACTGCAGTAAATTTAAATCCGAGCCATAGAAAATAAAGAGAATCCAAGGAAAGTTTGATGAGGAGACGGGTAACTTCTAGGAAATCATCAGCTTAAATATATTAAGAAAAATAAAAATTATAAATTACAAAATTAATCGTTAATAAGAATTCTGATTATTATCTTCTGTTATCAATGTGACAGTTAATAGTTAAACAATTAAGTATTTTCAGTAAAGATATTCAAATTATAAACATTTATGAAGCGTGTAGCTTGCAATTGGGGTAAAATGTGACATTTTAAAAAGTGGATGCTAAGTAAATATACACAGTTATGGCTCCATCAGCTGTTGATAGCAATTAGCCTCAGAACAGGAAAAGCAGGGACACCTATGGATCAATCAAAAGTTATTAATTTACAGTACACCTTACAGTTAATAATTGAAAAGATAATTTATAAACATTTTACGCTTTATTTCTTTGTTTTATTCGCATTTATTTTTTTTATCCTATTACATACAAATGCAAACGTAAATGAAGAGTTTCTGAATTTATCATAAATAAGAAATGAAAAAGGAACAGGTAAGAGAGAGAAATGCCATGCAAAATGCCAACATGGCGGATGTTGAGGCTTTTGCAGCAGTAATCAAGTTCCATGCGATCACCACAATTACCCCCTTCCTGTCATTTCGTAAAAGAATGAAAAAAAAAAAAAAAAAATCAGTGTTTGTATCGAACCCAACATGTAAGTACACATAACAAAGCCATGTTGGAAAAGACTTCACACTTAGCATCATTTGTTACGGGATTCAGTTTTATACAATTCTTTGGAATTTAAAAAAAGAAATTAGCAAACAGAATGTACACTTATTATTTTCTTAATTTTATCAAGCATTTTAAAATGTTAGTTTTGCAAATCAAGTTATTACATTTTTGTATGTAAATATTGATATTTTTCTAAAAAGGGCCACACCCCTTTTAATCGATTTGACAAAACACGCAAACTTTACTTTCTAAGGAGCCAATTCTTCATGGCCTTTATTCTTCATTAAAATAATTTTCCATAAATTAAATATTTAAACAGAAACTGGGTCAATATTCTTCATAAAATGCGTTTGTTAGGAATTTATAGAAAATGCGTGTGAAAAGTTAGATATAAACGAAACCGATTTGCTACTGATCATGTCGAGGGTTGTTGTTGTATAAGGTGAGAAAAAGGAAAGAAAAGACGAAGTCTTAATCACCTGTAGCAACTCAGGAAATGGAGGAGGAAGGTGAAGCTAAGAAGAAGAAAGACTAGAGAATAATTCACTTGATGTCTAATACGCGTTTACTTTCAACTTTTCACTGACGTTAGTCTTCTTAGCGAAGAAGTCTTAAAACAACAACACAGTCATAACCAAAAATAAACAATTCTGATAGTCAACAGTGAAACTTATTGTAAAAATGTCATTTTATGGTCATTTTTGTTAAAGTATTTAAAGAATTACAGCAAGAATAAAAACATTTTTTGCATTTTATTAAAATTATTAAACTAATAATGCAAAAAGTTTTTGGTATTTTCAGTGTAAAAATATAACACGGTAAAAATGGTGCAAGAACGAAGATGGCATGTTTATAAGACTTATGCTCTTCTTGAGTAATGAACATCATTAGTGCTCGACTAAAAACCTTTTTTTTCCTAGTAGTAGTGGCAATTTTAGTCAAATTACACCATTTTTAGCACCAACTACTTGGCCGCTCCTTGGTTTTCTTATCACTCAATTTCTTCTTATTATTATTAT